TCGGCCTCGAAGCCAGGAGAAGTAAGTGCTCTTCCTGTGGTGTCGTCGAATTCCTCAATAAACTGCTGTGGTGGTTCAAAGAGCAATGCTACGGCGTCTGGTTGTGTGGTGCAGCAGTATCTCGTGACAGGAGTCCATATAATCGTTGTCTGGAAGCAGGACTTAGGAAGTGAGTGCTGCAATTTTTATAGCTTAAGATTGCGTTATTTTCAGATCTGCTATTACTAAACTGCTTTTTAATAGTTTAACATCATAGGTCATTTTAAAAAAAATTTTTTGGTGATTATTTGGATGATAGAGTTCCAAGGAGCAAAAAAAGCTACTTCCATCACTTGTTGTTATCGAAGATAAACTACCCAATGATCCAAATCACGTTATGCCAAGTTGACAGATATCCATTCGTTCCTGACGCTTCAGCTTACAAATTATCACAAATTCTACTTTTGCTATAATTGCATACTATTGCAGCGCTTCTAGACTTCCTTGAAGACGAATGAATACCCTATATCTGAATAGACTATGTATCGTCCACAAACAGAAGGGATTGAATCTACTGGCATGGTCCAAAGGCCAGATTGCTCGTAGGGAGTACAATGGCGGAGTTCTTAAGTGTCCCCTTGCCCAAACTGAGAGTTAAAGAAACAACAAAAATATTTTAGCTTTATGTGAAACTTTTAAGACTGCTTGATGTGAAAGCATAAGATCATTGGAGACAAAATTACACTGCTTTAGGTATTAAACACAGAAGTTGCAGAAATTATAAAATGTGCAAAGGATAAGTAAAAGTTGGTCAACTTTAGGCTTTTTCAGTCATTTTCACTAAATAACTTGCTCACCGAGAATAATTAATAATTAATAAGTAACTGATTTATTTCCTTATAATATAGTAAAAAGTGTATTTTTTTATTAAAAGGGGGCATTTGACCTTCGAACGGTAATTGATTGCCTCATAGAGAAGGTATGAATGCAGCCCCGAGAGGTCACATGGAGACAGGGGAGGAGGTAAAAGTAGCCCACCCACTTAGGTGGAGGAGAGGCGTGTTGAAGTGACCTCTGCAGAGGTAAGTGGCGGAGGAATTGATAAATGGGCCAAATGGTGAAGCCTTTACTTTTGTTTAAAGTTGTGGTGAGACGAAATAGGCCAATAATTGTCCCTTTTCTTTTCTCTCCTATTGTCGTATTGCCACATATTCGATTATAATTACACCCCTGAATGAATTTTATACTTTATTTGTCCTATGGTGCATAAAAACTGTTAGATAATATAATATTGCAATAATAGTGGCATATAAGAAAGACGTAGAGGACCATGAAGTGCTTTCAAACACTGCGTCTTATCGGAGGGTCTTGCATGCTTCATGCAGAGATTAAGTAGAAGAGATTATAAAAAAAAATTTTAGCGAATCTACAAGACTTGTTGTTGAATGACTTTATTGGGATAGCAGGCTTGGCTGACAAGAACGGCTGGTTAAAGCTTTCAAGGATATTTCGTTAAAAAAAATTTCGGTAATTTAGTTTTTTTTGGCCCAGCGGTATACCTTTGAGACCAAAATGTCTATTAAGAAACTTTCACCTGCAGCAATTTGAATCTTCCGGAGGTAGTTGAGCTACGTGATGCAGAAGTGCAACGCCAAGTAAATGTCAAGGTTAATCTAGGTTGACAGGTGATGCACAAGGAACTAATGTACGGTGATGAAAATAACGCAATCTTAAGCTATAAAAATTGCAGCACTCACTTCCTAAGTCCTGCTTCCAGACAACGATTATATGGACTCCTGTCACGAGATACTGCTGCACCACACAACCAGACGCCGTAGCATTGCTCTTTGAACCACCACAGCAGTTTATTGAGGAATTCGACGACACCACAGGAAGAGCACTTACTTCTCCTGGCTTCGAGGCCAA